CATTTTATCCTGAATTTACAAACCTCACTCTGCCGAAAATGAGAGAAAATTTTTAAATGAATTTTAAAAATGTAATTTTGTCTATACCCACCGATAGTATAGTAATATCCTGTTTTAAAGCACATTTATTTAGACTGTTGAGTAACGTGTCAGGGTAGGGTCATCTCTAACTCACACACAAACACACACACACACACACACACACACACACACACACACACACACACACACACACACACACACACTAATGTATAGATCAGAGGATGTGGGGATCTGTACTCTGTCACACTTTTTATTAGTCTGCGAATGTGTGTGTGTGTGTGCGCGCGCACGCGTGTGTCTGTTAAGGGGGCCTCCCAACTGGAATGAGACACTTTTCCTGAAAGGATACACACTTTCTCACACACACTTCGTTATTCCTTGTTAGTCGTCCCACACCTTAATTTGCAACACCTCTAACAACCAGCACTGCAGTCCACTCCACAGCCACTCAATCTGTCACTGTCACCGCTCCACTTCCACGACTGGCTCTCTCCACTCGGCCATCAGCGGTGTGTGTGTGTGTGTGTGTGTGTGTGTGATTCTTGTATGTCTACCCTTTTTATAATATTTTCAGCAACTCCACGTGCAACGGTAGAAAGCCGCAATTTCCAAGTCTGTTTTTCATCTCTCATGTGAGGGCGCCCCCTAACTGCTTCAAGTGGAAGTGCATGCATTTAGACATCCAGTACAGACATTGCCAATGCTTACTACTGCTTTTAGGTCTGTGCCTAGCAAGATTTGGATTGCGTTCAATGGATTTGTTTTGCACTTTGGCTGGTTGGGAAGAGGGTACCATTGACAGCACTGTTTTTCTTGTTGTTGCTTAATTTTGCAGTGGCATTATGTGGCCCAATTTTTTCGACAGTGCTTTTGATTTAAATAAGCACAATTCTATACAGCAAATATAAACCACAATGATGAGTAGACTGTTAAATCGCACCCGTAAAATACATTTCAACTCTTACTGCGCTTTGATTTAACGTCATTCAATTGTGAAGAGCGACCTGAAGTTGTGGCCTGCAATCATAAAGAAAGCATCCATTGCTCCCCGTCTATTGTATGGATAAAAATCACCATGTCTTTAGTCAATACAAATAGACTGTAAGCACACCCGGAACACTGTAACAAAGCAAAGTGCTTCTATCTCCACCTTGCATTGGAACCGCAATCACCGTCAGGCAGCATTTCCATTTTGTGCTCTCAGTCAAAGTGAAAATAATATGCACCTTGTCACCGGCGCCCGGCCTTACAAGCAACTTTCCTCTTCTAATTCACCCCCCCCCCTCACGCCTCTCACATCCGTCACACGTAGCCGGCGAAGGAGAGGGCATGTCGAGACATCCATTAAAGGTCCCGAGCTGTCAAAGGTTCCCCTTTGTGAGGCGAGGAGCAAGAGGAGTGTCGTGCTCTTATCAGAGCTTCCTGTGGAGTTTGCTCTGCATCCTGTCCACTCCAACACGTTTCTCTTTTCACACTTAACCTCCGGGACTCTTTTGGTGCTCGCGCTCGTTCCTTCGAATGCTGCTCAATCAACGATGAGTACACTCTAAGCTATGCCTTAAACGTATTTTGGCATCAGTTTTGAGAACGCAAGCAGTGGCATAGGATTCGGTAGAAACGTGCAAGTCGCTGCTTTGATTGCCTCGAAGATTCAAATCTTTTGAGAGGGAAAAATACACCAGTCACTTTAATGCAATGATATCATCACAGTTGTAGATGCTAATTGAGAAAAACATTTACAGATTTTTTTTTCTCCATGCTTATCTGTGTATGGAGAAGAAATTAAATCTTGGTAAAATTATATATGTAGTGTTTGAGCTGAAATGGAAAAGCAGACGTGAAAATCATGGCAAGCGAGAAAAAAAAGTGCTTAAACATGTTTTCACGCGTACTCTAAAATTTGTAGGTTGCTCCCGAAAGCATTGTTTTTTTTTTTCTTTATTCTCATTATTAATGTTTGTGAAAATGGTTTGCCTCTTCATAAACTCTCAATGTGAGAACAGAAATAAATCCAGAAAACGGTCTGCATTTCACGTGACATATTGCATCCTGCATTGTTCTCCCATACGACACGTGAGGATGGGGGCAGGGGGGGGGGGGCAAGAAAAATGAAACGGAAAAGGTAAATAAACAAACAATCAGCTGTGGGCTTGTTCTGGCTCTCCCTCTCTGTTGCACCTCATTTGAAGCCTTATAAATCAGCCTTGCACCCGGAGACAGGGTGTGAGGCGGCCTCCTCAACAACATACGCGCACTTGTACACTTACAACAACACACAGGCCTGCTGCTCATTAAGCCCGCCATCAGACCCTCGGGTGCATCGTGAAATGTAGTGAGAGGGGTGGAAGCCTCTGGAAGTGCATATCAACTGCAACATGCTCAGTAAGCATGTGAAAGTTCTGCTAGCATGTCGAACTTGCCACGCCCTTTCACCCAAAAAAAAAAAAAAAAAACTGTGACTCCACCTATGTTCAGGCATTTATTTTTTAGCTTCCCTATAAACAAGAGGAATACCTGTCATGCCACAAACTCTCTCTCTCTCTCTCTCTCTCTCTCTCTCTCTCTCTCTGTGAGTGTGTGTGTGTGTACATATGTTTATATAAATCTGAAGAATATTAGGGAGACCGTATTAAGAAGTATTGGTGGGTGTGAATGGCTTGGTGGTTTTGGGAGACCGAGCGCGCTTCACTTTCAGTTTATATATATATAAAACACACACACACACACACATATATATATATATATATATATATATATATAGATAGATAGATAGATAGATAGATAGATAGATAGATAGATAGATATAGATATATATATATATATAGATATATATATAGATATATATATGTGTGTTTTTCTGGGGTTGGAACAGTTTAATTGTATTTCCATTCATTTCAGTGGGGAAAGAGGATTTGAGATACAAATGTGGTCTTGGAATCAATGAAACTCTCAAGGCACCACTTTATTATAGTAAGAATACCTTGTCATGATTTTTTTTTTCAAGGTGGTCTTTCCATGTATTATTTAAGAAACAAGTAATCCATTCATCTGTGCCACAATGAACAATGCCAGATTTATTATACATCAATCTTTTGCGCTTCGAGATTAAGTTTATCAGCTCCAGTTTATCAGATACAGTTGATCTGCTTCAGTTGGAACTGTTAATTTTCACAACACTTTGACTTGCAGTCGTTAAAGCGTTGACTTGGAGCAATTCTACCAAATAAGTGTGGCATAAACATAAATCAGGAAGTCTTCAATCAGATTATGACAATAATGCAAACATATCTGCGGCTTTATCACATATCAAGTAAACCCGACTGACTCACTAAAATGAAGCAGCTGATTATTGTTTTTGTTTTTTTTCCTCCAAATTTGCAGCCTTTGCGATTTGAAAATTTGAATTGGATTAATTGTTTGGCTCTCGTGCTCACACCTCAACTCAAAACTATGCACACCTTCTATTGTGTGTATCTGGATAAGCGCCCACGCACCAGTTCTCTCACACCTCCAACCAGACACTTTACATGTTTACCTTCCAAACTCCACACCTGCATCCCTTTCACCCACACAACAAGAACATGATCGTTCACACTTTACGAGCTGGAAAAAATAAAAGCTGGCTTTGGAAAACACGGCCAGTTCTCTGAGTTCATGAACTGTGCATGCAGCTAAAAACGTCAAGCGGCTTGTTGGTTCTTCTCCGTTGCACCTCGATGTCTTTCTCCTCGCCACCATGAGAGGCGTCACGCTCACCCGAGGCCATCGCTGAGCCGGTCTGATTGGGAGTCGTAATTAGCCCGGTCGCTCCGTGTCAGGCTCGTTTTCTCTGGAGGATACAAACAGGCGTGGGATTACATGCAGCGCAGGGGGGTGAAATTGGAGTGTCAATCCTGGCTTGGTGGACTGGATGAGCGTGGAAAGTTTAAGGAAGCAAATGGGTTGGCGGTCCCCCCCGTCCACCCCCCCACCCCCACTTTTTCGTTTTTGATATGTCTCATCTACACACGACAGCGTTGTCAAACAATTCTCATCACACGGATTTGTCATGTGCCGGGAGTTGGTGATGGTGCTTTGTGAAGAAAACAGCACGCGCGATGTGCACCAACTCCTTGTCCTGCCAGTTCCGATCTGATATCATTTTAACACCTGTCGTCATCTTAGATGTGAGATTCTGATTTGTCAGCAGAGGAACAAGAACTGCTCTGCGGTCCACCGTTGTTGTTGTTTGAGTTCCAAAGTACACTCGGATATGTGGCACCTTGGATCTCCTGCTACCACGGTTCAATGTCAGATTCCAATTTTTAACTCAGCTGTATTTAAAAAGCACTTGAAAGCAACCACCGCCGTATATACAAAGTGCCGGACGTGGAGCAAAAATAAATCATTCGACAACAAACAATGAAACGATAAGTGAATAACGAAGACAGTAGAAAGCACAAAAAGAGTCAAACTAAAAATCTTGCTGAGTCAATAGCCAAAGAAGAAAAATGAGTTTTCAGATGACTTTGAAAGACGAGAAACGATCCATGATCACCTCCTTCCTTGCTGAATAAAAAGCCTTCCTTTTTCCATCCACTTGTTGCTACGTACCTCCATCTGCTGTCATTCTCTGTGAAACGTGAATCCCTCCCTCCGCGTCTCTGGGGGGTGGGTGAGGTTACAAAAGGTGATCAATATGTGCCAAAGAGCGTCTTTTGACAAGTCAAAGAAGCTACCGTTCGTCAACTCTTGCCTCCTCTCACCATGTCAGGCATGACAAGGTTAGCTGGCCTGTTTCTGCTTCTGAATTTATAAGGTGACCGATCTCAAAATGATTAGCCGACATCTACATTTGAAACTTGATCAACTTCCTCCCGATTGAAGCCAACTTTAAACAGCTTTTGTCACGGAGTGAACTGGATCGGTGCGTCGTCAATTTCTGCGTTTCTAAAACTGGACCCCTTGCTCCTAAACAGGTGGTGGACGACATGGGCAACATCAAGTTTGCTCTGGACGCAGGCCCGGACAGCCCCGGCAACAGCTGGCTCAAGTATGTCCGCTCCGCCCCTTCGTTTCAGGAGCAGAATCTCGCCGCCTGCCACCTCACTGGAGACCAGGTGAGTGTCCCGCTTGGATTCGCAGTCCACATAAGAGACACATTGTTTGCGTTGTCTTTGTCCCACGACAGCCAATGCCGCTTTGCTTTCCTGTTTCCCATCCACTCAGAGTGATTAGCGGGTTCCTCCATCTTTTGTGTGTTTGCCATTGTGGCTGCAAAACATGTTGGCCTGTCATGACAAAGGAATGGTTCTATTGTGTGGCTGTCACTGGGCCGGTTGCCAGGGTTATTAGGAAGTGACACACGCAACAAAGCTTCAAGAACAGCCCGGCATTCATCGGACTTATAAAACTTTGGGAATACACCCAAAGGTGGGCTGGTGTCTTTTGAGCCAATCACGAATCGGTCAGGGTTTGTGATCGACCCGATATTTGTCTTCCATTCTCTGGAGTTCACTTAGGTCTGTTTTGATCAAACTTGAGTTCATTTCCTTCCTCCAACAAAACTCTGCTGCTATTCTAAACAAAGTTGGTGGGGCTCCTTTGTGGTGAGAAAGCGATCTGAACTTGATCCGATCCAACTAGTTGATGAGCGAATCAGCTTTGACCATCAACGGTTTAAGACCATGTCGTAAACTTCTGAAACCGGTGAGAAAGCGATCTGAACTTGATCCGATCCAACTTGTTGATGAGCTAATCAGCTTTGACCATCAACGGTTTAATGGTGGCATACAGACCTTGTGGTAAACTTCTGAAACTGATCACTTACCAAGGCTTGAAACAAGGCGACATTCGTATTGCAGCTCAATTCCAATTTTTGTTTGTTTTTTTTTTTTCCAATATGAGACACGTATCTGATTTGTTATCATATAGTTCAAAGAGTGACAGTACAGTTCCATCCATCCATCCATCCATTTTTCAGAACAACCGTCCACGCGCACACTCACACCTCGGGACAATTTAGAGTGTCCAATCAGCCTGCCGTGCATGTTTTTGGAATGTGGGAGGAAACTGGAAAACCCGGAGAAAACCCATACAGGCCTGGAGAGAACATGCAAACTCCACACATGGAGGCCTGAGCTGGAATTGAACCCGGTACTGTTACACACCACCATGTTTACTTCCATAAGTCGTTGAGGAAGAAGCAGAAGAAGAAGAAATAGAAGAAGCTAGGCTAACTTTTAACTTGTTCGGTAACTACCTTGCAGTGGTTGAATTTATTTCAACTGTGGTAAATGACTTGGAGGCAGCACAGTGGTCGACTGGTTAGCACGACGGCCTCACAGTGCAGAGGTTGCAGGCCTCGGCCTTCCTGTGTGGAGTTTGCATGTTCTCCCCATGCCTGCATGGGTTTTCTCCGGGTACTCCGGTTTCCTCCCACATTCCAAAAACATGTGTTGCAGGTCAATGGAACACTCCAAATTGTCCCGAGGTGTGATTGTGAGCGTGGATGGTTGTTCGTCTCTGTGTGCCCTGCGATTGGCTGGCAACCGGTTCAGGGTGTACCACGCCTACTGCCCGAAGGCGGCTGGGATCGGCTCCAGCACTCCCGCAGCCCTTGTGAGGCTCAGCGGATAAGAAAACGGATGCATTTATAGATGGATAGTTGACTTGGGAGACACATAACACTCAACACAACCAGACACAATCACAGAGTCTGTTGTTTCGCTAAACTAAACTCATTGTTGAGCACAGATGCCAACATTTGCAATGGGGGGGGGGGGGATATTAAACAGGCTTCACATTGACAATTGTTGACCTTTTTCATTTTTAGAGCCGATGGGGGAGGAAAAAGCATTCAACACAGGAAAAAGCACGAAGAACACTCTTTCAGAGACGTCCAAGAATCGGCTGGTGAATGATCAATTTGGGCCCGATTATACTTTGTTGGTGATGGTTTGTGTCCGAAAGGGCATCCATCATAAAAATTGTACCAAACAAGTCATACGCTTGACTCATGTGGGCAACCCCTGATCGGACAGTGGCATCGATTTGTGCATACCCCGTTTTAGCGATAATAATGAATGAATTTCCCAAACAGGTAAATGATTTATGTGTCGTGTGTTAGAATGAGCGAACAGAATGTAAATGTATCCATAGGGCCAAAGAGAAGTGAAACTCGCCCTCGAATGACGTCAGACAACGTGACGTGCGACATGACAGTCATACGACAGGAGCCAAATGCCGCCATAAAACTCTCCTGTGCGTTTCGACATTCCTGTCACTCCACTCTTATTTGTTTCCTAATCCCCGCCTGCATAGCCGGCTCCTCCTCGTGCCTCGCCGCCCTT